CGTCGATTTCGAGGATGTCTACCGTATGCTCCACAACCGGGTAATGCAGAGACGCTGACGTGCGCGCTAATTGGTTAAAAGTGATCGTAGACTTGCATTGCATCTACCGCACTCACTCTTCCCTCACAGAACAGAGTTTTTGGTGTCAAGACACAGTCAAGAGGACCGAAGGTAGGGTCTGGCGCAGTAGGTGGTGTGACCGAAGTCACCACGCCCACCCCCATGCCCGGCATTTGTTGCCGGCGCGCAATCCGCATAATGCCTGTCGTATCATGATCTCCCCCCTCCTTGTTGGTCCAGCACACCTAAAACGCCGCTCGCCACCACCGACCGTAACCAAGAGGCAATTGACCGTTCGCGCAGATAGTGTTAAAAGTTTGCATGCCGTAACGGAAGAGCGTTCACCGTTCCAGAACAGGACTCGGTCTTTCCATTATGCCTTCGAGTTCTCTCTCGATTCCCAGACAAATGAAAATTGACCACAAATACAAGGGAGACTGGAATGGCCTGTTCTGGCTTATTAGTTATCATCAGCCAGCCATACCTAAGCCCAGATGGTGTACCAACCAAGGCTCGATCCGCGACCTGGTGGTTAGAAATCCAACGATCTAACTATTTAGTCACGGGCTCCCTGTATTGTCATCTCAGATCGGGCGTATATACAATAGCGGATGAACGCTCACCGCTCGATAGCAGAATCCACTCATCCCATACAATCTGAAGTTGGATATGGCAGGTTGATAATGACCATTCCAGCCTGTCTAGTATTTGTGGGTAATATTGATCTCTTTTCATACAGGTGAGTTGAACTAATCGGGTTTATTTTCATGCTAGACGCAGAGGCCACGTTAAATTCTCATCGTTGTTTACTTCCTTTTTGTTAAGGGCACAGTCATATTTGGATGTTCGATTGGACATTGGGATGTCACCTCCAAGCAAATGCCTCCAAATCTGTGAGGACAGCCAGGTCTGGAGTTCAGAAGACACAAAAAGTCATCCTAAAATCAGGAAGTGCTTTCTTGGGGATTTTGGCCCATTAAAACTGGTCTGTAGCCTTGCAGCGTTTGGAGCATTTATTTCGATTTTGTTCCCAGCCTCTCTCACTGTTCAGGAACCATTGTTTTTTTCAAAAGATTCTCTATTTCTTCTCAGTTTTGTCTTCCCTTGGCTATCTCTTTCTCCTTCAGC